TATATATATATATATACACACACGAGGAGATTCTGGCAAACCATCAGGCTGTTAAGAAGAGGAAAGCAACACTTTACTAACACCGTGTTCAGTGATGGTTGGGTGCTGTTGACCTCAACCATTGATGTCATCAGGAGGTGGATGGAATATTTCTCGAACCTTCTCAATCCCACTGGTATGTCTTTCATGGAGGAAGCTGAGTTGGGGTTGGTCTGTCGAAAACCATGGCTGAGGTCACCGAGGTAGTTAAAAAGCTTTGTGGCAGCAGGACTCCGGGGATGAATGAGATCTGCCCTGGTTTCTTTACGGCTCTCAATGTTGTGGGGCTGTCTTGCTTGACATGAGGCAATGATCCTGAGGCCATGGTCCTCCTTCAGAAAAGGTTGGATTGCTTTCTTCAGGCCGAGGGTGAGTTTCTGCATCAAGTGGAGGAGTTCAAGTATCTCGGGGTTTTGTTCATGAGTGAGGGAAGAATGGAGCATGAGATTGACAGATGGATTGGTGCGGCATGTGCAGTATTGTGGACTCTGTGCCGGTCCGTAGTGGTGAGGAGGAAGCTGAGCTGTAAGGCAAAGCTCTCAGTTTACCGGTCAGTCTATGTTCCAACCCTCATCAATGGCTACAGATTTGGTATATATATGGGGTGGACACAGGACCTTATTTCTGCAGAGCTCATCATGTCACCAACATGCATCTGTTTCCACTGAAGTCCACTGCTCTGCTTCAGCACATACTTTGTATTTAGTTTCATCTGGAAACTTTCATTCTTCTGTACGTTCTATAGATACAAGTTAAAAGAAACATGTGTTCAAAGCTGTCAGTGTCACTACAGTGAGTTTTCCAGGACATTCTGGTCTGTGCTTTAACAAAGTTTCATTGCAGAAAATTTAACTGAGCTTCAATCCAGACTGCATTTGAGAGGGATTGTCACTGTCATTGGTGCTTCAGGCAAAAGAATAAGCAAAGGACATTGTGTTCCACTTACAGATGAGGATGTGCACTGTGTTCCCTGTTTGAAATCCTCTGGTTGATAAAATGTTCTCAGCCCTGCTTTCACAATCACCGTAGGCTCTGTTTTGAATCTTATTTGTGGACATGAGTAAAATACTTGACGCTGCTAACATCTTCCTGGTTCATGTTTATTCAGAAGTGCTTTTTAATCTTTTTTTCCTCCTTTATTTTTCAGAGGGGGCATCTCAACTTTTCTCCATTTGGTGCTGGGGCTGCCCTCTAAAACAGAGAGGGGGCTCAGGGGGCTCACTGGAAGTACTTTTAACATGTAGGGATGTGGTGAGTGTATGTTGCCATACCTTTCTCCATCCTTACAGCAGTGTTTTGTCATGGAAACAGTTTACAGTTACAACAGCAGTGATCCTAATTTGGTAAAAGGCCTGAAGCTTTACAAACCTCTAAATTAAAATAAACCCCAAAAGTTACATTTTGAGGTGTCATTACAAACTTACCTCCTGACAAGGATGGCTAAGAAGAACACTATTAAGGAGATTTAAAAATATGAATACCAAGCCATGTATAAATTGATGTTTGGATCAACATTCTTGCCAGTTTTGATTAAAATATTAAAATCTTCTGAGACAATACACTCGCTGTGAAGAATTCCTGAAAACTACTGTTTTGTCGGTCTTCCTCTGGAGCTCATTTGCTCCTGTTGTTGCCATGCTTGTCTAAAAAGCCTCTTTTTTTATGCCTAACAAGGCTAGGTCAGGTCCTCTGGATGGTTTCTTGTTTGTTGAAACGTTTTGTCTTTTATCAAAAATAAAAAATAAAAAAATGAAACGTTTCAACAAACAAGAATCCATCCAGAGGACCTGACATAACCTTGTTAAATTTTTCAACCTGGATTATTGTGCATGTATCAGGATTTTTTTTATGCATTCTCCATTTTTATATTTTATTTCACAAAAAATCCTGCACGTTTGGGAAGATTTTCTTGATCTATTAACCTCCAAATTTTATATGAATGGTAATTAGTAGTCTGATCCTCTTAGTGAATTGGTAAACGCTAACAGAAACACGAAAAGTTAAGAAACTTGTGTCATGGCTGCTGCTCAGAGACACTGAAAGTCAAGCTGCAGGTTTTTGTTTTAACTCATTTGTCTGCTGTGATTTTATGTTGCTGATCATTGATATCTAAAACTCTTTTCAAGATGTTTTCCATAATTATTGTAATTAAAGATTGAGCAAAATTCACACATGTTGAATAACTAAAATATAAGTATTTCTTATGATAGGTATGACTAACATTTGGAATTGTACCCTTAGTCATATGGTTTTAATAACTGGAAAGAAAGAAAAATATGTATCTGCAATCCACAATGGCGATGTCAGAAAAATGTAACAACACATTCCCACTTCAGACACGTGAAGGCTGTAAAGTTTTGTTCCAGGAATCCAGTCTTATCTTCCTGCTCTGTTTGATATCATCACTGCAAAAGTGTTGCAGACAAACTGTTGCCACTGGGAGTTCGAGATAAAAGAGACACACTGTCATTGTGGCTTTTAATTTGGAAGCGGTTTCATTATCATGAGCTTGTTCATTGCTATGAAATGAGATTATTCCTGTGGGCCAGAATGTGTTTGAAATAGCTTCATTCCAGCTAGTGTTTATGTAGATTTTCATAACTAATAAGATAAATGAAGGATGCTGGAAGTTGAAGAGGGCAACTCTTTTGGGAACAAATACTATTTTTCCTATAGTTAGTAGACAAGCGCAGCCCAGAGTAATTATCTTTCAAACTGACAGAAAGCGGAATGAGTGATGAGCACAAAGATTGATAGTTTTGTTTATCCAGTTAGACAAAGGAGATGACATTTACAACAGGAGCACTCACATGTTTATTTCTCAGAAACATGTGGCACACTGCCTCTCATTCTTCTAAGTGTGAGAAAGACAGACAGAGAGGTACTTTATGGCTGTACATCAATCTTTCTATCATAGAAATACTTTGTATTTTAAAGCTCACACATTGGACATGAATAACAATGAATCACCTTTTTCCAATTGTGATCTGTTTTTCTCTATGAGCATGAATTAAATACTTCAAGCAGCCAAGATGCTCAGTGAAAAACAGTTGAAACAATAATTCTCATGTCCATTTTTCACAAATGAGAACAAAATATAAATAACATTCGTAGACAAATAGATAAAACTATAGTCATTTTACCATTTGTTCAGTCTCACCACAACAGGCTTTCTCTACTTGAGTCTATAGGATCCAAAAGGTTTTTGACATAATTTGTGTGCCATATTGATGTCATGTTTGTTTATTTGTCATATGCAGGTTAACACAAGGTCAACAATGCACATTTTCAGGATGAGAAGAACTGATTTCTACTTGATAAAAATGTAATACTAAAGCATGATATAAAGGTACCAAAAAAAGTACCAAAAAGTGGAAAAAGAAATATAATATTTACAAGGTCCCAAATAAATATAGTAAACAACATGGTAGAATATAATGGTGCAAGTAGGATGAATTAGTATAAATAAGTATTTCACTCCTAGTAATATTAACTTAAATGGACATGATATATATTGCACATAACTAGCATATGCTACACAGGTTGCGTGACAGGTTATTGCACAGGTAGTGCGTAACATTGAGATTAATTGAATTATGATGGTAAAGCAGTGACATACATGATACAGCCACATAGTGCAGCAGCAATAAACATATTAGGTGTCCCAGATGTGACTTAGTTCAATGCTATTGTCAGTATTATTGTCAAGAGTTCAGTAATCTGGCAGCTTGTGAGTAATAGCTGTCCTTTAGTCTTTTTGTACACGATGGCAGACTCCTGTATCGTCTGCCTGAGGGTAGTGAATGGAAGAATCCTTATGCTGGGTGGGTGTGGTCCTTCATGATGATGCATGCTTTACACAGACATCAGCTGTGGTAGATGTCCTGGATGGTGTGGAGACTGCTACCAGTGATGTCCTCTGCTGTTTGCATCACCCTCTGTAGTGCTTTCTGGCTCTGACTGGTGCAGTTCCCATAAAACACTTTGATGCAGCCTGTCAGCAGGCTCTCAATGGTGCACCTATAAAAGTTGGTGAGGATGCTGGTGTTCGTACCAAACTTTTTTATTCTTTTTAGGAAGTAGAGTCTTTGTTCAGCTTTCTTGACCACATTGTCTGTATGTAATGTTCAGGACAGAACCTCAGCTGCTGACCTGCTCCATCTCAGCATTGTTTATGTAGATGGCAGCCTCCATACTGTCTCCTGAAGTCCACTATCAACTCCTTCATTTTGCTGACATTAAGAGAGAGCATCTCTCTGAATAGTTACTGAATAGTAAATCAGTGTGCAAATGATCCATTGTTAGGCTGATGGTCCTTCTTGAGCATGTGATCAGCTGGTTTTGGTTGTCAGCAGCAAAACTGGTTGATCCACTCTGAGAAGGTGCTATTTAAGAGACTGAGCTGAAAACAGCACCTCAGACTGAAGAAGTCTCTCGGACGAGAGACGAAACGTTTCTACATTTTTTGTTGTTTTGCTTTGTTTTGGGTTTTTTTGAATGTCCAGAGGACCAGATTTAACTTTTTTAGATTTTTCTACGTGGATTATTGAGCATGCATCAGGATAAGAGAGAGGTTATTTTCCTGACACCAGCTGGTCAGTGATTTCACCTCATCTCTGTAGGCATGCTCGTTGTTGTTGATGATGAGACCCAAGATAGTGGTGTCATCAGCAAACTCTAAGATTATCTTTGAGCTGTGCCTGGCAGTACAGTCATGTATGAATAGTGAGTACAAGAGTGGACTGAGGACACAGCCCTGAGGTATACCGGTGCTGAGGACTAGTGTGGAGGAGAGGTGACTGTTGATTCTCACTGCCTGTGGTCTGTTGGTGAGGAAGTCTAGTATCCAGCAGCAGATAAACTTCTCCAGGCCCAGTTTGGTGAGCTTGGAGACCAGTTTGGTGGGGATTATGGAGTTCAGTGCAGAGCTGTAGTCAATGAAGAGCATTCTCACATAGATGTTTCTCTTCTCCAGAAGGCTAAGGGAGGTGTGAACTATCCAATCTCAACACAACTGGGTTTGACTCTACTTGAGTCTATAAGATCCAAAAGGTTTTCAACATAACTTGTGTGCCACCTCAGTATGGGCAGCATTGTCAATATGCAGCCATCAAAACTTCTGCAATGTTTTTTTCTATCCAAGGCCAGCAAATTGCTGCAATCTGAAAATAAGTGAAATGAAGTCACAAAACACCCACCTTCCTAAAATGCTGTGGCTAAGTTGAGGCTACTTTCCCTCAGTCTGATGGAGGAGCCATTTGTTGTAGCTCCCTCTGAATTTTGTCTTCAGCCAACAAGCATGGGAACCTCTGCACCTTCTCATAGTACCACAATGTTGCCATTTTATTGGACATATTGTAAAATATAAAAAAGTAAATAACAAAAACAATTCTGCAGCTGTGAAGTTTCAAAAATGGTTGGTTATGTAGAGCGGTCATTCACAGAAATGCTTTGTATGTTAAAACAGTGGTTCATGTGTGTTCAGATGAGGTGAGGTATCTACAGAACCCGACTTGAATATTTTAAAAAGCTCTGAGGTTATTGATACACACCATGACTTCAGGAATGTCCAGTATGTGATTGAAAGTTTTAAATTGAAGTTTTGACAATTGTTGTTAAAACTACAAAAAAAAAAAATCGATAAAGTCGGTTTCTCATGAAAGTATTGGCCGATCTCCGATCTCTCAAAATTAAGGAAATCGGGGCCAATAAATCCGCCGGCCGATTTATCAGCCAGCCGATTTATCGGTGCACCCCTAATTGGAGCACTTTCCTTCACAGTCAAGAGTGTATGTTAAGATTTCCAAGGTTGGTTGGTGTAACTAGGAAAGTCATGTTAAGTCATTTTTATCATATTCAAAACTAAATACATAACATTTTAGAAACTTACCTCTAAAAACAAAGTTTGAGAGGAAGCTACTTTTATAGAGTAAACTCCCAGTCCATATAAAACATACTTTTCTAGACTTTATTTTCTACCAAAAGCTCATGATTTGTTTTATTAGGCTGACATTTTGAAGATGAATGTTCAAATGGCCAACATTCTCAAGCAAAAAGGTCAAGAACTATAATTTTACAAAAATAATAGTCAAAACTGTGTTTGTTCCTTATTGTGTTTGTGTGTGTGTTCGTGTAAAGTCATGCATTGCAGAAGGACATGGTGTTCCCTCTTGTCTACTGTTCCAGTAGCTGGTGTTCCTGGCTGGCGCCAGTGCAGAGGATAGCTTGGCAGGGAGGTGTAAATTATGGATTAGATTCTTGAGCATTGTGCTTGTACAGACAATCAATCTGTGTGTGTGTGTGTGTGTGTGTGTGTGTTGGGGGGTGGAGGTGTGCATTTGTACATGTGCTCACAGACGTGGCGTATCTATATATGCATGTACATGTTTGTCATAATATGCTGTGATCACTGTATGTGTTATTGGAGTGAATGTGAAAGTACTGCAGTCTTGGTCAGAGAGGAAAACCTGACAAAGTTAAAGAGAAACTGTACAAGTAATCAAGTCTGCATTTGTGAATTTAAAAAAAAAGTAACTACTGAACCTCATGATTAAGAGTTGGAAAGGTCACAAATTTAATATTAAGTCTAATTTGGGTCTGTTGACACTGCTCAACTTTACTGTTAATGAGAAGTGGGTAATGTGTTTAACTGTTCTTGTTTGTGTATATATTTATCTCTTACACTTTTTTGTTCTGCTTTTGGTTGTTCCCTTTTCAGGGGTCGCCACAGCTGGTCCTCCTCCTCAACTGTCCTCTGCAGCCGCTGTCCGCAAACACGTTAAACAAAATTTCTATTATTTTGAGGGTTATGCATGAAAAAAAAAGTAGCGTCAGTTAAAGTGAGCTGCTAGAAAACGAGATGTGACTAGGCAAGTGAACTAAAGAAGGACAACTTCCAAAATAAAACAGGACGTAAGCTGACAAAATTAGAAATTAGGAGTAATGAAAAGCAACCAAAAAAAGTGTAAATTATACAAAAATGTTATATAACAAGAGCCCAACAATCATTACAAGCTCCCTTTATGTGCATTTAACACCTCATCTAATGGTGTAGTCTACGCGATACGCGGGTATACGGAGTATACCCACTAGAAAAGCTTAAGAATTTCAGTATACCCATTTAAAAGTGCCCAATGATACACGACATCATTAGGTACGTGTCATCGATACGTTAAACGACAGTTAAACGTTTCCGTAACAATCTGTCTGTATGGAGCGCTTGTTTTTTGTTTTTTTACATTCGCTTATCCAGCGAATTATTGTATAATTCTGTACTCACTTCTTAATACTTGAACATGTTTTGCTTAGATGCTTTTTTATAAATTCTATAACATGTTTTTAGTACAAAGTCAACTGTTGTACAGAGTTTGTTGTACATTTATTCAAATATAAACATCAGAGAAATTTGGAAATGTTCAATATGCTTAAAAGTCAAAAGAAATTGACGATTACATTGTACTAACTGGCGTACATTGGTTTCTAAGCACAGCATACCCATTGCAAAAATGTAGAATACACCACTGACCTCATCATCTCAAAATATCACAAAACTCTCTGTGTCTAATCTAACCAGATCATCAAGGCTTGGCCCTGCTGCTGCTGCTATTACCAAATGAGGAAAAGTGAAAATCCACTGTGACAGATTTACCTGGACATAAAGTTGTGGATGAATTATGACGCACGATAAACATACTGTCTGTGTGGGTGCACTTTGGGACCGTTGACTGTTGTTTGTTAAAAAATAAAAAAATAATCATAACTGTATTCAGTAGATCTTTAAGAAAGATTAGACAAAGATCTGTTCTGTTGATTTATTCATAAAAATCAATTTAAACCCCTGTTCTCATTTATCATTCATTGCTTCATCATGTCAGCCGTATGTGTCATAAAATGTGTGTTCCATGTATGATTTAATTGTTCGCGAGTTCTGTTTGATCCGTCTTCTCCTCATCACTTTTCTTTTGTACCCCATCGCTGCTTTAGGTGTTCCAGCGACTACGTCTGTCCAGCAGAGATGAGAGTGCCGCACTCAGGGAGCTCCTGCGGTGGCGGCAAGCACAGCGTGAGGGGCGGAGCGACTGTAAACACCGTCCGCCTCAGTCCCCTCCCCTGCCCCCCACACTGGTCTGGACCAAAAGGAAAGCCTCTCCGTGACAGAAGGCACATCTGCAGGCTGTGAAGTTCCTCTTTACAACTATTTTAGTTTTTTACACCTTATTTTTGTTATTTGTGTCAGACCCTCAAAGCCCACGGACTGCGCTGAAGCTCCGAGCCCTAAAGCGTGAGCCTGGCCCCTGGGCTGAGGGTCCTGCCTCTCCTCTTTGCACTTAATGTGGAAGATGCTCCAACGGACACGATGACAACTTATCGTGCACAACTGGACACGGATAAACAAAGAACACATGGTCAAATATTATATTAACAAATGAAGTTGTAGAAAGAAAAACTAACTATTGTGACATGACCTATTTATTTTTAGTTTGTCTGAGAAGATGAAATACGACGGCCATTTCTGGGAGGCTGAGTTTAGGAGCTGAATGGGCCTCTTGTCTGAATCCAGGCTGATCATGATACGGTGCTGCACACAAATGAGATTCCTCCTTGCAACGTGGTGCTGAGAAATACTTGACTTACTGTCTGGTGATGTATGGATGTAAAAAGTTTACAAGCAAACCAACGCCTTTTTATCATTGGTGATGCTGGCGTATGGGGTCCTAAGTGCAACTGCTGCCATGGCAACAAGCTACCAGGGGTCAGAATAACCTCAGTTCTATCCCAAGATGCACTTTTGTCCCTTGTTACTACCAGCCTTTGAGAAAACAAAACCCTCTGGCCAAACACCAAGCCACTGCACTTACCTTTACTGTGAGAAGCAAAACGTGTTGCAAAGCTACAGTCACAACGCTTTAGGAGAGGTATGTAGTTCATGTTGGGAACACGACACTACGTGCCAAAGTGAAAAACTGCCACTGAAGTGTAGTTTAAGAGCTAAAATATGATAGCCTTTCATTGACCTAAATGAACAAGATAAAACTGGTGTTTCAGTTGAGTGTGGATTCTGTGGACTGATCAGAAAGAAATGTAAAATAATAAAAATAAAACAGTCTACATTTCTAAAGTAGCAACTAAATCCTCATTGTGTCATCCCCTAGGTAAAGTTGGGTCTGAATATCTTAGGCTGAAGCCATTTTTTTTTCTTCTACAGCCTCAAGTTTTGAGAAAGAAAGAGGTATTTAAAAGAGGTATTTAAAAGTGTATAGATCCCAGAAAGAAATCTGCCAAGAACAATCTGTAACTGTGATTTTCTCTATCCTGAGTTCTGTTATCTCAAGATAAGCTCATTTGATGCATTAGCTGGAGAAATGATTAGTTTGTCTTGATAACAATTTATCTCAAAAGCAAATTTTCTATTATCACAACTGCAGGATAAAAAAAATGTGGGAAATAAGTGGTTCTTATGTTAAACCCAGTTTCCAATTTATTATTGCTGTCATATCACTTGCACTTTTTATGACATAAAGTGAAGATGCGCATGTGCAAACTTGCTGAATGTTTCGGATGGTACATTTTCTGCCTGAATCAGACTGTCTGATAAAACTTGCATCATTTTGTTTTAATTTGGCTTCACAATATTTTCTAGTTATCGCAACAAAAACAAACTATTCTAGGTCAGATATCTCAAGGGAAGAAGCTTAGTTATTGTGAAATGGTGACACAATTAAGTTATTATCACTAAAAAATAGCTTTGTTATTATAAGATACTGAAAGAAAATATATTTTTAATCCCATAATCCTGTTATGAAAAGGAATCGCAGTATCTCTGAGTATTTTCACAGCACCTAATGCATTCACATGTCTGAAATCTAGTAATTTGTTTATTGTCGTTCAACAATTTGGCTCATTGGCTCTATTTTTTTTAATTTTTTGACAAAATATATGGAACAGCCTTTTCTCCTCTCAAGGCCGGTTGTTTAAAGCTATTGTTGTTCTTTGACAGTTTTAGGAAGTTTTTATTTTGCAAATGAGTAGAAATATACTCAAGCTTTCAGAATCAAACTAAATCACATGAACAAAAATGATCATTTTGTTTGATTTTGGTCCTTTGATTACCTTTTTATTAATATAAATATAAACCAGACGACAGAAGAAGCAGATGAGAAAGTAACAGATGAGCTTACAAGGTCGAGATGGGTGAAGAAGAGTTGTATCATATGAGAAACAGACCTTTGTTATAGTTTGCAACAGTTCAAAGCAAAACTTGTTACACGGTAGAAGCAGAAACTCGGATAAACGAGTTAATGAATTTAAAATATTCAAGTTGGATCAAACAGTTTTAACACGACTGTCATCATTTCTACAGCTCCCTTTCTTACAAGCTTTTTACTGCCACTACTAATGAAAAAGAAAACCGAGAAGAAAATCTAACGTAATAGTTTTGAAGTGGGGTTCTGTGGAGACATTATGAAGAGTTAATATCCTACCTGATGTAGATAGCTTTTTGAATTACCTCAGTTTGGAGAAGCAAGTTTTGGAATAGCTGTCCAATCTGAATTAAAACCTGAACTTCCGTTTTGAGACCTAAAGAGCTATTCGAAGCAAGTAAGATATTTATTTGTAGCCTTTCCACAAACCCTATAATCAAAAACTCTGTACTATATCTTTAAATAGAGGGATTTCTTTTTCCAAAAAGTCACACTATGCAAATAATACACCTTATGTCAGGTTCAAGAACAAAACTAACAATAGAAGGACTGTAGAAACAAAATCAATAAAAAATATATATTTCAAACTGGGGCTAGCCTTTGATGTGTCAAGACCCTAACATCACCTGTAAGTAACATGTTTGTGAGTCTGGTGTCATTTAGACAAGCTCTCTCTCACTCACACACACACACACACACACACATACACACACACACGCCTGACTTGTACAGGTTTTTCCATGGTGAGCATGTCCTCCACTCACCTCTCCTTTCCCTCACTTGCCCCCAACAAACAGAGACCTCCTTTCCCCCACCCCTACCCCCGATGGATAAGACCGGCTTTACGGGTGTTTCCATGGCAACGTTAGTGTAAATAGTAACCAGTGTTGTAAGTCCTTGCTGTTATTATAGCTGAAGAGGCTGAAATGAAAGAGAGAAAAGAAGGCGGTTTGGTGACACTGTCTACATGATGATGAGATTTAAGAATGTTCTGGGTTTGATGCAATGACTGAAATAAGAGGTTTATTTTAAAATGTAAATATCTTCTTTTATAAATAACTGTTTATGGCTATTGAATTGTTTAAACTATTTATTTTTTGTAAATCTCATTTCAACGCTGTTGTTCTTTTTTTTCATTTTTATTTTTATTTTTTTAATGGTTTTTGATTGCACAATGTTTGTTGACCTCTGTAATGGGCTGTGTGTGTCTTCGAGAGCCGTTTGATCCCCGAAGATCACCCCGAATGGCTTGGAGCCGCAAGTATCAATAGCTCTAATTGATTTCTCATTCCCACTGATCACCTACAATGCGTCTGATTGATTCCGTCTTACAAATTAGCAGCGCTATCGCAGGATCAATCTCACTTTGTCTTTGTGCAAAAGGAAAGGTGCACACAGGAAGAATTCAGTGGAAACGTGATTTACAGCAGGAAGTTTTGACTGAACGTGTAAATGCAGACTTTTGTTCCACTAGTGCATCACTGGATCCCTTTGAAGATGTTCAGCTGCAACATGTGCTTGTTTCTAAAAATGACAAAAGAAGAAAATACCGCTTGATGTGAATTACGTCTTCAAAGGCTACATATGCAGTTAACTGTAAATCAAGTAAGAAAGTGATTTGCTCCATGACTGACACCGTGCATGGGAACTCCAAGGGGTCAAACCTTTTCAAACACGTGTGAGCAAAGCTAATCCAAGCACATCTTCAAGCTGGGGAAGTTTGTCAAAGTCAGTGAAGGATGATGTTTGTCATCCGTGAGGATTAGTGCTCCAGTAGTTCTGTATACCCTCAGTAGGACGTATCAGTGCTTTTACCTTGCATGATGGAAACGTTCGGCCTGTTCCATGACAAGCTTGTGGTGAAAAGATGAAAGCCATCTAATTTGAAGAACTGTTTCAACCTCACTGTGAATCACTATGCTGTCTCCTGTTTTGACTCCATAAGGCTGATCGTCCATTTTAAATTGCTCACAGAAACACCATCACATGCACACCTGGGTGGATTAGTTGTCTGTCATAAGCAAACTAAACTCTGAATCCTCTGAGATCGACCTTCAGGTGCTGCAGCTGGTGTTGAATGGACATTTTCTCTACATGTATATGTTTCTGGTGACATTTCTGTGCCCATAAAAAAAAGAGGTATCTCACTGCCTTTCAGAGTGTTTTTTTTTTTTTTTTTTTGTAATGGTTAACGTTTTTTCATAAAATTACAATAAAATGCTTTTGTAATCATTTTTTGTACATGACATACAGTGTATTTTAATTTGCATATGTATTTGTTTGTGGAAAGAAAAAATATGGATGTATTTCATAATTATTATGTTCCTAATGTTTTATATGATTGTCCCTGTACAGCAATAAAGCACAACTGTGTCAACACCAGTTTGTCTACATGTGAGCGAAGGAGAAAGTTACATGTATATCTTGTTTACAGTAAAGACGATTTTTTAGCTCATTTTCTAATTCTCACTGTGCATGTATGTATATGATGATTTATATTAGCAAACACATGTTTTTAATATTTTTCTGTGTGTGCAGCAATGCTCTGCAGGTTCACACCTAAAAGGAACTAGCTCAAATTTAGGGATGTGGAGATTCAGGTGGAATTTGTTTATGTTCAAAATTCACAAAACTCAATTTGCAGGCCCATTAATTAATCATCTTTTTATGAATTTTTAAATGAAAGCAAAATATAATATTTCTGCTAGTTTACATATTCATTACTTCATTCTTAATTTGGTTTTCACTAGCTATTTAAATACAATATTATTTATCATCATTACCTGGCAAAACCTCAGCTCACACTAATCGTAGACATCCGTGCTGGTTTTATTTAGTTTTATGTTAGAAATGCCTTAATTTCATTTTTAATTTAAATAAAACAAAATAAATAAATAAAATATAATAATAAATGCATGGGTGTCCAAAGTGCAGCTCGAGGGCCATTTGTGGCTCTTAGAGTAATTTGTGCGGCCCACAACTGCAGTTTAAGAATGGTTTCATTTTGTCCAGCAGGCTCAAGAAATCAGTGCAGACTTTTGCAAATTAGTTGGTAATCATTTTTTAT